CTACCATGCTCAGCCTCTCTGGTCTGAATTTGTATTGCTGTGATTCGTCTAATATTTAAGAGAGTCTGTATATTTGTTGTAATCCTTTTATTTATACCTACTTTTTAGTCACCTTATTCTTTAGATGGTCTCATGCAATTTCACTGTTGTATATCCAGTTATAGATTTTTTAGGGGATGGGGACAGACTCTTGCTCTCTTGCCCTGACTAGAGCAGAGTGCAGTGGCAACATCATAATTTACTGCAATGTCTAAGTCCTACCTCAGCCTCCCAAGTAGTCGGGATCATAGGTGCCACTACGCCCAGCCAGTTTTTGTCTTTAATCCTGTTTGTAATTTCTTGGGTTTCCTGTATTGGTGTCTCATATCAATTCTGGAATTCTTTTATCATTTTCGGATATTTTTTTCTTTCTTTTTCAGACTCCACTAAAAACCACGTTAGGGCAAGGCATGGTGGCTCATGCCTATAATCCCAGAACTTTGGGAGGCTGAGGTAGGGAGATGGGGAGGAGGATTGCTTGAGGCCAATGATTAGAGACCAGCTTGGGCAACATATCGAGACCCTGTCTTTCCAAAAGTAATTAAAGCTATGTTAAATGTTCTTCCCCCCCCTCTATTGAGGCACAGTCTTACTTTGTGGCCCCTGGTACAATGCCCTGGCATCTTAGTTCACAGCAACTTTCACCGCTTGAGCTCAAGCAATTCTCTTGCCTCAGCCTCCCAAGTAGCTGGGACTACAGGCACCCGCCACAGCGCCCCACTATTTTTTAGAGATGGGGGTCTCACTCTTGCACAGGCTGGTCTCAAACCAATGAGCTCTGATAATCCACCCACTTCGGCCCCCAAGCGCTGGGATTATAGGCATGAGCCATCGCGCCTGGCCTTATAGTTTTCTATTTAATGTATACACTTCCAAGCTTTTGATTTCTTTTTTTTTGCAGGTTTTTTTTTTTTGGATGGGGCTGGGTTTGAACCCACCAACTCCGGCATATGGGGCTGGCACCCTACTCCTTTGAGCCACAGGTGCTGCCCTAAGCTTTTGATTTCTTTTAAATATATTTTAAATTTAGTTAATTTAATATCTGCCTGTGATAACTTCTGTATCTGAAATTTTTGCAAGTTTGTCTCACCAGTTCTTGCTTCTAAATCTGTTTTTTTCCCTGTGTGCTTAATTATTTCAAACTCTATACTTACTGTTGTTGGAAGTAGGATTTCTTTGAGTCCTAGGGTGGAAGTGTTTTGTTTCAGAGAAGACTTTCATAACTTTGAGAAATACAAGTCTGGGACCAACTTAAAGCAAATTCACAACTTGAACTTCCTGGGGCTACCTAGGTGACGTGCATCTAGCCTGCAAATTTATGTTAGAGCTGGCCTGTGGCCACAATTGTCAAGAAGAGTTTCCTTTTTCTGACAGTTTTCCCATCGAGGCGGCGTCTCTGTAGAGTGCTGGACTATGTTTTGCTCACCTTTACAGCAAAGGTGTTGCCTTTGGAGAGGGTTAGGTGGTCTTGGCTTCATGTGCGAGAGGGTCTCATGTTTGTTAGCCTTTTCACCTGGGAGGGGCTTGGGCCCAGGGCTGTTTCTTCTTCATCCCTTGAGGCCACCCAGTCCAAGTTTGTCCCAGTCAGCAGGTGTCCTCAGGGCAATAGCAGCACCAGTGCTTCCCACGCAGATGACCTCTCTGGCTTCCTGCTTTCACGTAGAATTTGGCACGGTAGTTCCTTATAATCTTGTCAGCTCACTTTGCTTTCAAGGAGATGTGTATTATGTTTTATTTAGCTAGAGTTTTGGTCCAAATCAAACTAAAATTTAAAATCTAATTAAAGGGATTTTTGTTGTTGCTGCTTGTTTGTTTTTCAGAGACAGGGTCTATTACTCTATTGCCCACGCTGAAGTGCAGGGATATAATCGTAGCTCATTGCTACCTCGAACTCTTGGGCTGCAGTGATCCTTCTGCCTCAGCCTCTGAGACAGTAGGCAACCTTCACCACACCTAGCTAATTTCCCTTTGTTCTTTCCTTCCTTTCTTCCTTCCTTCCTTCCCTCCCTCCCTCCCTCTTTCTTTCTTTTTTTTTTTTCCAGTGATGAGCTCACTCTGTCACCCAGGCTGGGCTTGAACTCATTGCCTCAAGTGATCCTCCCACCTTGGTCTCCCAAATAGCTGGGACTGCAGGTGGGTGCCACTATACCTGGCTACTTTGTAAAAAATCTTCTGTAGAGATGAGGTCTCCATATGTTGCCAAGGCCTACTTTAACTTTTAATGCATAATTTTAACACCTGTAGTAGGAAGGAAATTAACATTTAATGACCTTCTTATTCTGTGCTGTGTTAGGTCTTTCCATATCATATGGCTAAGAAAACTAAGACTCAGAAAAATTAACTGACTTACAAAAGATTGCATAAGGCAAAATCTACCTTCCAACCCAGTGTTTTTTTATTTTTTGGTGTTTTTTTTTTTTTTTTTTGAGACAGTCTCACTTTGTGTCCCTGGGTAGAATGTCTTGGCATCATACCTCACAGCAACCTCAATCTCTTGGGCCCAAGCAATCCTCTTGCCTCAGCCTCCCAAGTAGTTGCGAATACAGGTGCCTGCCACAATACCCGGATTTTTTTAAGAGACTGGGTTTTGCTCTTGCTCAGGCTGGTCTCAAACTCCTGAGCTCAAGCAATCCATCTACCTTGGCCTTCCAGAGAGTTGGGATTACAGGCGTGAGCCACCTTGCCTGGCCCAACCCAGTGTCTTTTGATCTAAATTCTGTTCTATTTGTACTATACCAAGCTATGTCTTGTCTGTCTTTGAGCATCTATAGGGTCTCAACTCTGAGATATAGTTTAAGAAGTGCCTGACACATAGTAGATTATCAAAAATATTTGTTGAATGAGTGAGTGAACAAATGACACAGACAAGATTCCTAGCCTTGTGATCTACTAGGGAACATAATTTACCAGGATATGTAAACATGTAAATATGTGTGTATCTACCACAATCTGATGTAAGAGACAACATGGAAATGAGCTGAGTGCTATGGGAGCACAGAATAAAGAATTCTCTTTAGTAATTTAACAGCTTAGAAGTAAAGGCTGTGGCAGGAGATGAGTCTGTAGAGACAAGCAGGATCCAGATCCTAAAGGGCCTTTACTTATTATATTGAGTAATTCATGCCAAACAGTGGTTGAAATACTTCTCATGAGTTGGTTTAAATTTCATAGCACCCTGTATGGTGAGGATTGGTCGTTTTTTTTTTTTGTTTGTTTGTTTGTTTTTTTGAGATAGAGTCTCACTTTATCACCTTCGGTAGAATGCCATGGCATCACAGCTTACAGCAACCTCAAATTCTTGGACTCAAGTGATTCTCTTGCCTCAGCCTCCCGAGTAGCTGGGACTACAGGCACGTGCCACAATGCCTGGCTATTTTTAGAGATGGGGGTCTTGCTCTGGTTCAGGCTGTTCTCCAACCTGTGATCTCAGGCAATCAACCTGCCTCGGCCTCCCAGTGAGTTTTTTTTTTTTTTTTTTTTTTTTTTTTAGAGACAGAGTCTCACTTTGTTGCCCTCGGTTGAGTGCTGTGATGTCACAGCTCACAGCAACCTCCAGCTCTTGGGCTTGGGTGATTCACTTGTCTCATCCTCCCAAGTAGCTGGGACTACAAGCACCTGCCACAATACCCGGCTACTTTTTTGTTGTAGTTTGGCCGGGGCTAGGTTTGAACCCACCACCCTCGGTAAATGGAGCTAGCGTCCAACCTACTGAGCCACAGGTGCCAACCCCCAGTGAGTATTAGTCTGATCTTTTCATTATAGGTACAGAAACTGAGGCACTGAGAGGTTATAATGTGGCCAAGGTCACTCAAGTTAGTATAGGAGATACCTAAGCAGTTTGACCATGATTTTGTATCCTTAACCACAATGCTTCTGTTTGTCTCTGTATTAGTATATATTAAAGGTGTACTTTCACACCAGTACATGCAAATCTACTAGCTGAGTAAAGCGAGACTTTGACTCTACTAAAAACAGAAAAACTGGCCAGGCATTGTGGTGGGCACCTGTAGTCCTAGCTCCTTGGGAATCTGAGGCAAGAGGATCACTTGAGCCCAAGAGTTTGAGGTTTCTGTGTGCTATGAAGCCACAGCACACAACCTTATGGTGACAGAGTGAGACTGTCTCAAAAAAAAAAAAAAAAGTGTTCTTTCTTTTGGATTGGAGCAGTGGTTCTCAAAGTGTGACTGGGACCAGGAACATTGACCTCACCTGGGAGCTTGTTAGACAGAATCTCAGGCCCCACCTCAGATCTAGTGAATAAGATCCCTGGGTGATTTGTCTGTCTGAACTTTTAAGTTTAAGAAGCATTGATTTAGGAAATTTGGATATTATCTTCAGAGTCGTGGCTAGGAATGAACTGTCCAACACTTGGCTACTAGGAAGAATTAAATTCACTTCTTGTCAGTTTGATGCTTCTCATTATAAATTTTAATAGTATATCCTCATAGAAAAATTGGGGAAAAAATTGGAAAGCACAGAAAAGTATGAAGAAACAACAGAAAAATTAATGACTCATCCCCCCTGGAAATTACTGTTAACATTCTGAAATGTTTCCTATTTTTTAATTGCTTCTTTTTACCATAGATAAAGGCTAAATTCTTGAAAAGCTTAACCTTTATTTACTGATAGTATTTTGTTAGTTAATTTGCTATGCTTCACAGTTTTGTGTGGTTAAACCTTACCCCAAAATATATGCACACATGAATTTTACAATTTTGCAGTATTATTCCTCTGTAACAACTATTTAAGACTATAGAATTGACTAACATCTTAATTTTAGTCCAAATGCTCATGGGTTCAGTTTTACTCTTATAAAAAAACACACATTCTGTTAAATATGCTTAATTTATAGCTCAATTTTCTTAGAACTAGTATATTTAATTTTTATCCCATGATCAGATTTGATGTTTTTAGTTTCGAGGAAAAGTTCAAACTTTAAAATTTCCTTAATTTTTTTGCAGCCTGAATTCAACAAAAAGAATACTTTTTACCTTTTCAACCACGTTGACGTCACTATTTCGTATCACAGGGAAAAGGGTACAAATCGGAGTATTGCAAGATTGGTAGCTGCCAGACTTGACCCCAAAAGGTAATAGTACAGAGTTAGTTTCTTTCTTTCCTTTCTTTCCTTCCTTTCCTTCCTTTCTTTCTTTCTTTCATTCCCTCCCTCTCTCCCTCCCTCCCTCATTTCTTTTCTTTTTTCTTTTCTTTTCTTTGTCTCACTATGTCACCCTGGGTAGAGTGCCGTGGCATCACACCTCACAGCAACCTCCAGCTCTTGGGCTTAGGTGATTCTCTTGCCTCAGCCTCCCAAGTAGCTGGGACTACAGGTGTCTGCCACAACACCCAGCTGTTTTTTGGTTGCAGTTGTCATTGTTGTTTAGCTGGCCTGGGCCAGGTTCGAACCCGCCACCCTCAGTGTATGTGGCTGGCACCATAACTACTGTGCTACGGGTGCCAAGCCCAGAGTTTCTTTTTAATTAGCTCCAGTGATTTAAAAATTAATTCAAAATTTAGAAATTCTCAATTAGAAATTTCACTTGTACCATACCTTTGTGATAGAACATTAGGCATACATTTTGAAAAATCAAATTGGATTAAATGTCTTAACACAACAATTAAATAAGTGAGGTGAAGGTTATGTTAACCAGTTTGATGTAAGCATTCCAAATTGTATATAAAATCAGCACATTGAACCCCATAAATGCAGTAATGTACATAGTTATGATCTAATAAAAAAAAAAGAAAAATCAAATCGGCAATTTCACTTCCTATAATAAGTAATTTTACTTACTGATAGTAAGCATGGGGCATCCATGTCATGTGAGGAGGAAATGATGGGTCTAGGAGAGAACAGACTTAATGGGGGTGTCCTAAATGTTTTTATTAAATTGTGTTGTATGACAAAGAAGTTAAATATAGATTTGTGAGCTTGGTGCCTGTAGCTCAAGCGGCTAAGGCGCCAGCCACATATACCAGAGCTGGTGGGTTCAAATCCAGCCTGGGCCTGCCAAACAACAATGACAACTACAAGTAAAAAGTAACCGGGTGTTGTGGCAAGCGTCTGTAGTCCCAGCTACTTGGGAGGTGAGGCAAGAGAATTGCTTAAGCCTAAGAGTTTGAAGTTGCTGTGAGCTGTGACATCACAGCACTGTACGCAGGGTGACAGCTTGAGGCTCTGTGTCAAAAAAAATATGTATATATATATATATAGATTTGTGTTTCATCAAAGGACAAGTCTAGTACTGGTGGAGTCTATTAGGAAGGTATCAGCTGAGTCTGCTAGTAATTAGAACTCTCTAACAGTTTACCTTGAGGATTAGTGAGTCCTTTGTCCCTGGACTTGTGGTAGCTAGAACCTGGATGACCCAGCTCTTAGAGATAGGACAAGTAGATGTTTGGCATAGTACTCAGTCCCAAGTAAGTAAGTGCCCAGTGAACTGTAAAGGGCAATTCTGCATTGGGTAGAAGATCAGAAAGATGACCACTAATATTCCAACTCTAGGATTCTAGCACTGTAGGCTAAGTACTTTGCAGTTAATAAAGGTAAGGAAGGGAATATGTCACACAATGTATAAAATCATGATTCATTATAGGCAAAGTATTATAAAACCCGAAATATTAGGATAGAGGAAATTATCCCTTGAAACTTAAGTGCAGCACATTAAAGGAGGCCGGCGTGGTAGAGTTTTCTGACCACAGAACAAAGAATTAGGAAATGTGGATTTTAGACTCATCCCTACTGGTTTCATTTTGAAAGTCAGCCCGAACTTATTAAAATGAATCAGACTTCATTGTTTTTAGGCTTACCATCCTATTTTATTTTAGCCCAGGTTGTTCCATTTTTAACAGCCAATGGTCAAAGGGAAAGAACAGTTAGAGAATGTATTGTGCCAGGCTGTTGATTATGGTAGGTTAACTTGCCCTTTCACAGATTTAATTTTCTCATCTGTAAAATAAGAAGGCTGAATTAGGAGTTTTAAATGTGGAACTTGGTGCATCAACCCCTGGAAATTTTTATTCACGTGTATTTTTCTGGGGGTAAGTGGCCATAGATTTCATTAGATAAATAGGCCCCAAACGGTTAAGAACACTGGTGATTTCCAGCTCATTTTTTTGTCATAATTTCTTTTTTCACAATAAAACTGTTAGAAATTATATGTATTTAAGATGTATATGATATTTTGATATACCTCTATATAGTGAAATTGTTACTATAGTCAAGCAAATTAACATATCATCTCATATGCTTAACTTTTTTTTGTGGTAAGAGTACCTAAAAATCTACTCTCTTAGTAAATTTTCAGTGTACAAAACTATTAACTATAGCCCTCATGCTGTACCTTAGATGTCTACACTTAACTCACCCTGTGTAAGTTCAAGTTGGTACCCTTTTTTTTTTGTTATTGTCATTGTTGTTTAGCAGGCCCTGGCCAGGTTCAAACCCACCAGCCCTGGTGCATGTGGCCCGTGGCTGGGTGGCCACTGAGCTATGGGTACGCAGCCAACAAGGTGGCCCTTTAACCTACATCTCCATCCCTCCTCCTCCCTGCTCCTGGTAATCACTGTTCACTTTGTTTCTATGTATTCAACTTTTTAAAGATTCCAGGCATCATTTTCTTTCTGTGGCTGGCTTATTTCACTTAGCATAATGTCCTCAGGTTCATCCACATTGCTAATGGCAGTAATTTTTTCCTACTCAAAGCTTTTAAAAGGCTGCATAATGTTTCATTGTGTATGTGTGTATCACAATTTCTTTATCCATTCATCCATTAATGGACACTTAGGTTATTTCCCTATCTTGGCTATTTCGAATAATTCTTCAGTGAACCCAGGAGTGCAAATATTTCTTTGAGATACTGATTTTGTATGTCCAGAAGTAGGATTGCTGGATCATATAGTAGCTCTATTTTTAGTGCTTTGAGGAACCTCTCTGCTGTGCTTCAAAGTGGTGGCACTAATTTACATTCCCACCAACAATGTACATGGATTCCTTTTTCTTTCTTTTTTTTTTTTTGGAGACAGAGCCTCAAGCTGTCCCCCTGGGTAGAGTTCCGTGGCATCACAGCTCACAGCAACCTCCAACTCCTGGGCTCAAGCGAGTCTCCTGCCTCAGCCTCCCAAGTAGCTGGGACTACAGGAGCCCAGCTATTTTTAGAGACTGGGTCTAGCTCTTGTTCAGGCTACTCTCGAACTTGTGAGTGCAGGCAGTCCACCCACCTCTCAGTGTATGTGGCTGGCACCTTAGCCACTTGAGCCACAGGCACCAAGCCTGGATTCCTTTTTCTCCATGCTCTGGCTAACCCTTGTTATCTCCTGTCTTTTTTGTTTGTTTGTTTTGAGATAGAGTCTTACTTGTCACCCTTGGCAGAGTACTGTGGTGTCACAGCTCACAGCAACCTCAAACTCTTAGGCTTAAGCGATTTTTTTGTCTTAGCCTCCTGAGTAGCTGGGACTACAGGCCTTGCTATTTTTCTTTTAGAGACTGGGTCTAGCTCTTGTTCAGACTGGTCTCAAACTCACAAACTCAGGCAATCCACCTTTCTTGGCTTCCCAAGTGCTGGGATTACAGGCAAGAGCCACAGTGCCCAGCCATCTCCTGTCTATTTTTTTTGGCCAGGGCCAGGTTTGAACCCTCCAATTCTGGTATATGGGGCCGGTGCCCTAGTCCTTTGAACCACAGGTGCTGCCCAGATCTCCTGTCTTTTTGATAATATTCATTCTAACAAGTGTGAGTTGATATCTCTGTTGTGGTTTGGGTTTAAATTCCCTTATGATTAGAGATTTCCAATTCTGTTTGGTCTTAGTAAAAGGAGATTCTTTTAAAATTAGTGGCTGTGTTAACAATTTTGAAGCAGCTTTATCTCCGGAAGGTGTTGCAAACAGGAAATAAAAGAGGAATTAAAAGGTTTAGGGCATATATATATGAATAACAGGTAAACATAGCTATTAAGAGAGGTGAGGAAATACCATTGTCAAGGACAATTACGATTTTCAGTGTATGTCACTTCTGGTATCTGGAAACAGAGTTTTAGGATGATTAACTCTATTTGCTTTCATTTGGTTTTTAGGTTGTGGTACTTTCCTGATCTTCTCCTGTCTTGCTATTTTCTTCCTGATCTCCCCCTCATTTTCCTAACCTCTTAATAGGGGAGGGCCCCTGGACTCAATCTTTGTCGTTTTTTTGAGACACAGTCTCAAGCTGTTGCCCTGGGTTGGGTAGAGTGCCATGGCGCTCTTGGGCTTAAGTGATCCTCTTGCCTCAGCCTCCCAAGTAGCTAGGACTACAGGTGCCCGCCATAACGCCTGGCTAGTTTTTTTTTTTTTTTTCTGTTGTTGTTGTTTTGCAGTTGTCATTGTTGTTTTAGCAGGCCTGGGCAGGGTTCGAACCTGCCAGCCTCAGTGTATGTGACTGGCGCCCTACCCACTGAGCTATGGGCACCGCCTGTTCATTTTATCATGTTGCATAGTGTTACCATTATTACCATGATGGCTGTTAGATCTCTAGACTTGCAGTACATCTACTGTCTACTTGACAAATCCACTTGGATGTGCTTCTTCTGTTGTCTTCTCAAGTTTAGTAAGTGGCAATTTCATCCTTCTGGTTGCTCAGGCCCCCAAACCATGGCATCACTCTTGATTCCTCTTTGTCACTCTTCACTGATACCCATATCCAGTCCAATTCTTTGGAAGACCATATGGCTGTTTCTTTAAAATACAGTATAATTCAGAATCCACCACTTCTGTCACGTTCTCCAATATCAGCTGGTCCAAGACATCATTTTATCTCACCTGGATTATTGTAAAATCCTCACTGATCTTCCTGCTACTACCCTTGTCTTCTGTTCTCCATACAGCATTCAGAGCATTCCTTTGAGAAGTCAGCTTGTTTTAACCCTCTGCTCAGAATACTCTCACTAACTTTCTTTTTATCCCCCCCCCCGCCCCTTTTCTTGAGACAGAGTTTCACTCTGTTGCTCAGGCTTAGAGTGTTGTGGCATCAACCTAGTTCACAGCAACCTCAAACTCCTGGATTCAAGTGATTCTCCTGCCTCAGCCTCCCAAGTAGCTGGGGCAACACATGCCCACTATAATGCCTGCCTAATTTTTCTATTTTTAGTAGAGATGGGTTTTGTTCTTGCTTAGACTGGTCTTGAACTCCTGAGCTCAAAAGATTCTCTCACCTCCGACTCCCAGCGTGCTAGGATTACAGGGATAGGCTACTGTGCCCGACCTCTGTTTACTTTCCATTTCACTTAGAGTAAAAACAATATTCTGAAAATGGCCTTTAAGACCTTATGTAGCCCACGTGTAAGGTCAGTGGTTTAAAATTGGGATACTGGCCAGGCGCAGTGGCTCTTACCTGTAATCCTAGCCCTTGGGAGGCCAAGGCCAGTAGATTACTTGAGGTCAGGATATCAAGACCAGCCTGATCAAGAGCAGGACCCCCATCTCTAAACAAATAGCTGGTTGTTGTGGCGGGCGCTCTTGTAGTCCCAGCTACTCGGGAGGCTGAGGCAAGAGGATCACTTTGGCCCAGGAGATTGAGGATACTGTGAGCTATGATGCCACACACTCTACTGAGGGTGACAAAGTGAAACTCTGTCTCCAAAAAAGAAAAATGAATAAATAAATAAAATAAATAAATAAAAGGGATTCTACTTTGGTTAGAGCATTTAATTTTATGTGCTGCATAATCTCTCTCATATGAAATGCAGATATTTTCAGTACAGGATCCAAGGCCTGTACTTATACATAAGGCATGATACTTACACAATAAGCCTTGATATGAATTATCATGAAATAATTTAATCATTAATTTGCAACATTAACTTTTGATCTGTAGTCTTAAAAATTGTTCTTTCTTTCTTTCTTTCTTTCTTTTTTTTTTT